TCATGTTTGACCACATCCAGCTTGCCTTGGTTCATAGATCTTACATTCCAGGTACCTATACAATATTGTTCTTTACAGCATCGGACCGGGTGAGGTCTTCAAACTGAGGCAGGGAAAAAGTTATGTAGGTTTTCTTTCAATAAGAACTTCATATTTAGATACTACATTGTGTATAATTGGATTGTAACTCCTTCTAAATACTATTTTCTCCTCTTGGCAGCATGGGGTAACCTTGGAAATGTTTTGAAGAGCCAGAGCAAGATTTCTGAAGCTGAAAGCGCCTATAGAAATGCCTTGTATTACCGCAGCAACATGGCTGATATGCTTTATAATCTGTAAGTATATGTGGCTTTCTTTAGGACATGTTCTTCTGTGAATGAAATCATTTATTAAGATTCAGAAAATGCAAATTATGTTTAGCTATTTTTTTCCTCTGCCTTTCATCTCTCCTCTTACCTTCAGTTACCTTCCATTAATCTTACTTCAAACTCCAACATAGACAGACTTCCTTCTGTTCTCTACATTTATCAGATCATCAGATATTTTGACTCTGCTGTGCAGTGTGAAATAGCTGTTAATTTCCCAAAAGATCTAGTGGGGTGCTGTATTTATGAATAGCCTTTTAGATTCTTCCCAGCATCTTGCCACAGATCCAGCTGACTAGGACTTACCAGCAAGCCCCAAGGCACTAAGGCAGTTGAGACTGCTATTTTATCAACTTCAACTGGTGAATCAATGGCAGCTTTTCTTTCTAACAAGGATTTGGAAGCCAATTTCCATGCTGTGGCAGTCTATTTAGACAGCTGCATTGTGATGTACTTAGAAGATGGCTTGAAAGTTACAGCTAATGCTGATTTTCTTTAGACAAAATGCAGAAATAAAACAACATTCTTTTTGGCTCACTTGAAAATGATTGCAAGCACAACTAAAATTATGGTTTGAGAAAGATTTCTTCTCCCTCAGGAATATCTATTCTTGGTTACTCTTTGTAACATACTTGGCAAGGTTGATTGGGAGCATCCAGAATAATTATTTGCCCCCCTCCTTTTGTCCACACAGAATAAGGTATTGGAGAGAGAAAGAGGTGAAATATTCAGTGGCATGCTTTGAACAATTGTTTCATTTTTGCTTTATTTTTCTAGGTAAAGATGGACTTTCAGGTTCAACTATAGCTGTGAGACTTGTACTGTAAAATAAGTTGCCTGTTGATTTAGGAATAATATAAAGGAAATAGTGTTAATTATACAATTTTACTTCTTCATAACACATACATAACTGAATTAGGAATTCCCAAAGAATATATAATATGGGTCCAGATTTTGTATGTGCCCCAGAACCTAAAGTGAAGATCAATATTCTTTTCATCCACTTTTTCATTGTACATAAGTATTAGACACTTTCTTCTTTCATTTTTATATACGTTTAGAACACTTACCTGCTCTATTAGACAAGATAATATATTTATTTTTCTCACAACTCATTAGAATATAAATTAGCATACCTTTCTGAACTACCTACTTTGATTCTGGCCTTGATATACTTTTTAATGCACTGTGGCATACTCATTTGATTGCTCCAATTCATAATTGATGCCAGTAGGCAAACATTTATTTATTAATACATTAATTATCTTTTATGTATATAAACTCAATTTACTAATTATATAGGTATCGTTATTCCATGTGATATTTAATAATTACTTTAAGTAGAAATAAGATATAGAGAGAGGTTTCTTTGGATATTGATAGATGGGAATCTTTAAATCTTATCTTTAGGCAAACACTCTCTAAATTTATGCAGTTCCTAGGATACTTTATATTTTGCATGGAATTTACACACGCAAACATTTAAAAAACGTAATACATTGTTCAGTAAAATGTTATTGGATTTTTCAGTTCTGCAGATATCTTTGGGAAAGATGCAGTTGCAGTTAATTTTATTTATTTGCAAATGTTTTGTTACCTGGCTAGGTAATATTTTCAGTGCACTGAAGATGTTACTTAGCCAGGTAATGAAACATTTGCAAGAAAACAAACTCAGAGAACCCAAGGACTCCACAGTCCAACCCTGAGCTACATATATTCTCTTCTGTTGGGATTGATTGATTGATTGATTGATTGTATTTATATAGCTTCCCATCTCACATATTCAGGTTTTTGGTTTTTGAATTATACCATGTGCACATCTTCTGTCTAGTACCACATTTGGGATGGCTTCACACAGTATAAATTCTCCTTCCCAGGCCTTTTTGGAATATGAATGCATAACAATTTTAATTAATTGCACTGTTTGTACAATACATTAGGTACAACTTCTGTCACTATTGCATATGTTGATTTGAACACTGTAGCATACTATTTCTTGAAAATTGCATTTTGGTCCTTTTCCCCCATAGTAAATCAATGTTATGGGGCAATCCATACTTTAAATTTGATTTTTTTTAAAAAAAAAACTTATATACGGTTGCTTATATTTTTACTTTAGACCAATTACTGTAATATTGATCAATTTTTATCATTTCCTATGTTAAAGGAGAAATATAATTTTATTTTGCCACCCACTGGCAATATTTACAATAATATCTATTGACATCTCAATTGGAGCAGCACCAATTTCAGCTTCAGTAACACCTAAATTATTAAAGTGATTACCAAATCTTATGAGATTAAAATAACACAATTAATTTTTATAAATGCTTGTTGCCAATAAATCAATTCAATATGCAGATTGTAAAGACTGAATGGAATACAGAACTAGATATTCCCATTTTATTTAAACAATAGGAGACTGCCTTTATGTCTGTATCAAAAATTTAAATCTTACACTATAGCTTATTCAGTAAAAAAAAAAAAAAAGTTATAATCCATCGCATTTGTTCAGAAAAGAAATGAATAATTCATCATGCTGTTGGAGATTGAGTGAGAATTGCATATTTTTGCAATGTTTCAAACACATATTTTTGCAATGTCAGAATTACAATGTTCTCGGAAGTCATACATATATTAATTTAACTTTGGGATAGGTTTTAATACTTTTGCTAGCTACCTTCTTTTGATTTACATACCTACCACATGGAATTTGACAGCTGGACAAAGGAAATGGATTCTCTGTGCCATTCTTATTGTTAAGAGACTTGTTATTCAACATTAGAAAGATAAATTTACAATTCCAATTACTTAATGGACTGAAGACCTGATGTTACTTGCAACTTCTGAACAAGATGCTTATAGATTTAGACTTTGTATAGATAATTATAATCAAATATGGTCATCACTTTATTAAAATGTTTGTGTAAAACTACACACACACACACACACACAGAGGGAGAGAGAATAGCATTTTATTTGTTTATTATAGATGCCCAGCGATTTTAAGCTTTTGCATGAACTTTATGTCTATACACAGAGATTGCTATATTCATACCTAATTAATTTTTGTTTTAAATTTCATGCAACCAGAAAGCTGTGGTTATCAGATTCACGACAAGTGGGCTGTAACACAGTGTTTTATGGTAGTCATACAGCAAACATCAGTTTATGGTTCGAATTTAATTAGATTGTCTGCTTTGTAGGTCATAGAAATAGTCTTCCTGCAGATACAAAAGGGCTGTACTAATAAGACAAGGTATGATCATCCAAGCATGACTTCTGTAGGAGAGATTACATTTGCAACTATCCCAACAGCAGTTTAGGACACTGCAGTTGCATTCATGTACATGAGGGAAGAGAATTAAAGAGATTGACAGTATCTTCTTGCAAACTAATTAGCAGCACCACCAAAGTTAGCTTTAATGACTCTCTGTTGTGCATATATGTGTTGCATATATATGTATATATGATTGTTGCATATGAATATACGTTTATGCCTTTGAAAACACACACACACACACAGTACATATATGTGTGTCCCTACAGAGAGAGATTTATATAAATATTCCCTTAAATATTTCTCTTTTGCAGTATATTAAAAAAACTGAAGAAGTCTACGCTTTATACTTTGGATGCATCAGAAAAGGTATAGGACATGAAAGATAGATATGAAATTTTACTTTCTGAAGATGTTACTCTTCCACCTCCACCCCCATTTTGCTGATTGAGAATATATGGGTTATGGGCATCACAGTGCTGCAATAAAGTTTACAAAACAATATTAAACAAAGATTTAATTATTTACTAGAATTCAGTATTCTTTCTTGCATCTGCTTTTCATTTTGCATCTATACAGATTTTAAATAGCTGGTGAAACCGCTGTTAACAGAGATTTATCCTATTCCATTATATGAGCCTCCTATAGAAAAACAACATCTGCCCTTAACAATTTTAAATATGCTAAGATTATATTTTGTTTCTTAGATTCTCACAACCCTTTTACCTTAAGACTAACTTCCTTCATTAATGTTATTTTGGCCCACTTATCAATATTCTCCCCATACCAATTCATTTTATGACTTGTACCATTTAACAAATATCTAATAATTAACTTTTCTGTGTTTAAATATTTATCATATTTTCTAATATTGCTCACAGATGTAGAACCTTCATAAATACTCAATTTAGCATTCAAATACTGTTCAAATACATACATAGACACATACATATATAATCTATACTTACAAAAAAAGAAAAATGTGATTCTGTGCATAAAAATTAAACAACAGGTAACAACATTAAAGAGATTTAAAAGAAATATGAAAAAAAATAAAATCAAAGAGACTGATGACTCCTCACATAGGATAACACGGTGGTTTCATCTCTCTTCTTACAAATAAAAATACAAAGCAGTTTCAAACATTACAAATTGAGCATGTATACTATGTCTTAAACAGTAGAGTTGACAGTATGCCCAGACTTTCTATCTTGGAATTAACCATAACATAAACAAAAAAGAGTACAGGAAAAAAAATGCAAGTATGGAAGATTAAAATAAGGCTTTTACAGCAGAGCTGTAGGCAGACTCAAACTTCTGCAACAGATTCCATGGAATGAAACACAATCAGGCTTGTCCATCAGCAGATTTTAAAGATAAGATAAAGGTCTCTACATTCAAAAGGTTATTAATCTGTGAATCTGAATGCAGAATGTAGCTGGAAAACGCATGAAATATTGGTGTTGTATTGATCTGGCAAGACTTCTTGTTTTTGTAAACAACCTTCTCTTTTCAGAAACTTCTTTAGTGCAGTCAGGATAAATTGATATCGTACTTTGGTTAGAACCCCACTTCAAAGGAGACTTTGGAGTCCTTGGGGTTCTCTGAGCTTGGTTCTTTTCTTGCAAACGTTTCATTACCC